CAGAAGCAGCGCGAGGAGGAGATCAAGCGCCGCAAGGCTGAGGTGGAGGCCGAGAAGCAGAAGCTGAAGGAGCTGCAGGAGGAGCACGCAAAAGAGGAAGCCGAGGTCCGCAAGCGCCGCATTGCCGAGGAGAAGGAAGCGAAGGCGAGGGCGGAGAAGAAAGCGGAAGAGATGGAGGCCGAGCTCACCGCCACTCGCCGTGCGAAGCAGGAGGAGATGGAAGCTCTTCACAAGGAGCGCGAGGAGGAGGAGAAGCAGCGCGCCGAGGCGGTCCGCAAGCAGCGCGAGGAGGCCCAGAAAAAGAAGGAGGAGGCGCAGAAGCAGCGCGAGGGGGAGATCAAGCGCCGCAAGGCAGAACTGGAGGCCGAGAAGCAGAAGCTGAAGGAGCTGCAGGAGGAGCACGAAAAAGAGACAGCCGAGGCCCGCAAGCGCCGCCAGCAAGAGGAGAAGCAGTTAAAGGCAAAGGCGGCGAAGAAGCACGAGAAGAGTCCTGCCACAGCGGACAAATCCGCTGCCGCGACGAGCCGCCAGAAAGAGTTGACGGACTTGAATGCGACGAAGAAGCGCAAAGAGGAGGAGGAGAAGCAGCGTGCTGAGGCGGTCCGCAAGCAGCGCGAGGAGGCCCAGAAAAAGAAGGAGGAGGCGCAGAAGCAGCGCGAGGAGGAGATCAAGCGCCGCAAGGCTGAGGTGGAGGCCGAGAAGCAGAAGCTGAAGGAGCTGCAGGAGGAGCACGCAAAAGAGGAAGCCGAGGTCCGCAAGCGCCGCATTGCCGAGGAGAAGGAAGCGAAGGCGAGGGCGGAGAAGAAAGCGGAAGAGATGGAGGCCGAGCTCACCGCCACTCGCCGTGCGAAGCAGGAGGAGATGGAAGCTCTTCACAAGGAGCGCGAGGAGGAGGAGAAGCAGCGCGCCGAGGCGGTCCGCAAGCAGCGCGAGGAGGCCCAGAAAAAGAAGGAGGAGGCGCAGAAGCAGCGCGAGGGGGAGATCAAGCGCCGCAAGGCAGAACTGGAGGCCGAGAAGCAGAAGCTGAAGGAGCTGCAGGAGGAGCACGAAAAAGAGACAGCCGAGGCCCGCAAGCGCCGCCAGCAAGAGGAGAAGCAGTTAAAGGCAAAGGCGGCGAAGAAGCACGAGAAGAGTCCTGCCACAGCGGACAAATCCGCTGCCGCGACGAGCCGCCAGAAAGAGTTGACGGACTTGAATGCGACGAAGAAGCGCAAAGAGGAGGAGGAGAAGCAGCGTGCTGAGGCGGTCCGCAAGCAGCGCGAGGAGGCCCAGAAAAAGAAGGAGGAGGCGAGCTTCTTCCTTCGCCTTCTTCGTTTCTTCGCGCTGCTTGCGGACCGCCTCGGCGCGCTGCTTCTCCTCTTCCTCGCGCTCCTTCTCTGCCTGGTGGAACTGAATTTCCTTGTTCTTCTTCTCGCCCTCCACATCCTTCTGCGCCTTCGACACGTTCGCCTCACGCCTCTTACGGCGCTCGGCATAGTTCTGGCGAATTTTCTCGGCTCGCTCCTTAATCGCCTTGGCCTCCGCCTCGCGGGCCTTGGCCACCTCTTCCGAGCGCTTCTGCGACTCCGCACGGCTCCTCTTCGCCTCATCACTGGAGGCGCCTCTCTTGTTGCTCTTACGCATCAGTCGCTTCTTTGGTTGAGCGGCGGGGACTGACGAGCCGTGGCCATTGCCGGCGGACGTATTCTCTCCCTCTTTCGGTGCTGGACTTGGCTTGGCATCTGGCTGCGAGCTGTCTTGTTCCTTCGGCGTAGCGGCTGGGTCCTCGTGGTGCTCCACCGGAGCCGCCGCCTCCGTCTCCTCCGGCTTTGAGCTCATGGTGATTTCTTATTTGCTTGTTTGCCTTTTGGTGCTGCGAAGAAACTCAGAAGCGTTTGTTCGCCTTTAGAGCCGATGAATGAGAGGTGAGCGCTTCTTCGTGGGATGGGAGAAATGGAAAAACAACGGAAAGAGGATATACCTTCACAGCTTTTATGAATTTGTGTGTGGTGTCTGCTGCTGCACAAACTGAAAAAGAAGGCCCGTGCTCACGCGGTGAGGTGTGCGTACGTTTGTTCGAGGCCCCTTTTTTTGGTTTGTTTGTTTGATTTATTGGAGCGGAAATAGAGAAGAAAAGCGGTACAGTGTGTAACAAGAGAGAATAAAATACAGCGTATGAAGAAAGAAAGGAGGGAGATAAGTCTAATACAAGAACGAAGCAAAAAAAAGTACGCTAATAAAATGGAGACTTCAGTGCGCGGCACGCAGTCGTAAAGATAAGAGAAAAATGCTTTGGCTACTTAACACGAAAGAAACGTGTGTTCGGTTGTTGTTTGATTACTGTGTATGTATGTGTGTGTGTGAGTGAGTGTGCGCGCTGCTGCTCGTGTTCTTTTTTCTTTCTTCCTTTTTGAGTGTGAAAGAAAAGAAAAATGGTGAGGATATAAATTCTTTTGGCTTACAAAGTGTTGTCGTGCCACGTGAAGCACGTCCATCGCCCGTGGCCAACGAGGAAGAAGACGAAAGAAGAGACAGAGAGGATAAAAGCCAAGAAAAAAAAAACAATAATGACAGTAGAAAGAGTAGTGTACGCGAGCCAAGACGAATCAAGTAGACAATGATCGCTGCAACGCGTGAGACGAGGTTGCCACGACGCACAGGAGAGAAAAAGACATATTTGGGGGGAGGCAGTGTTCAGTACTGTTTGCTGTGCTAAAACGTGTCCTGTGCCACAGGTGTAAAACTGAGAAGTGCTCCGCAGTCGAAGCGGCCAACCCTCATTTCTCTTCTTCTGCATCGTAGCAAATTCCTCCTCTACTTCACCGATTGGGTTGCACCTTCGGCTCCGCACATAGCCGCCTCATGAACCACGTGCAATGTGCCGCGTTAATAGCCACAACACACACTTGAAGCGAAGGAGGCGATGCGGGTACAAGGAACCCTTTTCCCCGTATGAATTACTGTTATGTTTATTCTTTGTTTTTGGAGAGATTAGAAAAAAGACAGTCACGCCTCACAGGCAAAAGAAGGTGCCGAAAAGCAGCAAGCAACGCTGTTGATCGCCACACTTCACACATGAAACAAGCCTGAGGAAAGGAAAAAGAAAAACAACAAATCACGGAAGTTTAGAGCGAAGGCGAGTCAGAGTGAGCGAGGCAAATGCGGAGGGAAAACACGCATCGTTGGAATACAAACGCAATGGACCGTCCTTCCATTTGTTCTCTCTAGGCCGCCTTTTCACACCACTTGAACCGGGATCTGCCCCCACCAGCGCAGACTGCGTTGTCGAAGCCTACTACTTAACGGAGCTTGTTGAAGCCGATGTGCTCAGCGTTCTCACGGAAGCACTGACGGCACACGTTCAGCTCGTACTTGCGGATCAGGGCCTTCTGGTTAGAGCAGATCACGCAGCAGCGGGAGCCCTTGCCCATGCCGATCTTCTGGCGGGAGCGCCACTGGTCGAGATGTCCCATTCTGACGGATGTGTAAGCTGAAAACTATCCTGTGTGTGAGGAGCCGAGTTGCAGCCGGGTTTTTTGTGTGTGATTCATTTCGGCGGTGGTGCGCATTCAGCGGCACAGCGGCGCCGTGAAAGAACGAAGAAAGAGAGAAGAGAAGGCGAGGAGAAGAATGCAGCAGTTGCGATGGATAGCCATGGCCCAGAAGAGATGCGAACCCAACACAACTCCCTCGTTGGCAGGATTGCATCTGTCAGCGAGTGTGGACAAGGGCTGCATTCTTGCATTTGCCAGCGTTATCATCATCAGCAACATGGCAAAAGCGAGCATTCACTTGACGCGTTTTTTTTTTTCTCTAACCTGCGTATTCGGTTGTTTCCAGCTAGCAGCCCGTCGATTAACCTCAACTGGGCCGAAGCTCGAGTCTCTCACATTGAGGTGGATGCAACCCAGCTTTTGCAGCTCTACGTTTATTATCGGTGTGTCTGTGTGTGTGTGTGTGTGGCACGCCGGAAGAGCATTCCTCCTTTTCTTTTAGGCGTATGAATAAGTATTAAAAAAGAGAATGTTTAGAAAAAGATACTGCAATTTGGAGGAAGCCAAGTTGCCTACAATTGATTCTTCTTTTCCCGAACACGCTTTGCAGCGAGGGAGATGGAAGTCTAGTGGAACAGAGTAAACGTACAGCCAGTACGATCAGCAGCACTTCTTCAAACTGTTGAGGCGTTACGCAAAATTATCCAGCAGTCCTAACAGAAAACTACGCGCCGCCACCGACGTCTTGCTGCCCTCACCGCTGCCGTCAATCGGGTTGTAGTACTCCCACCAGCGCGACCCGCCGTGGATCGTCTCCACGACACTCACACGCAGGCTATCGTAGAACGTGCGCAGCTGCGCCTCTGTCATGCTGCCGTCACCGCAGTTCGTGCTGTTCAGGACGTCCAAGTAATGCGACTTGACGCCGTACAGGAACAGCAAGTTGGTGGAGGGCCACACGTAGCCCATCCACATGTTGCTGTGCGGGAGGCCGGACTCCCGCGCGAGGCGCACCGAGTTGAAGGAGACGGACATCAGTCCATACGGGCTCTCCAACTCCGCCTTCGCGAGGGCGATGATGTGCGCGGCCCTCGGCAAGTTGCGGCGCACCACGCCCAACATCACCGGGTAGAGATTAACGTAGCCAAAGTACGGCGAGAAGAACCAGCTGTCGCACCCGACCCGGTCGCTGTACCGCAGCCGCCCCGCATCCCAGTGCACGGCGTCGAGGTGCGCCTCCCAGTCCACCTGCACACTCTCCGGCACGTGAAGGAAGTCTACCTCGATGTGGCTGATGAGGCGGCTCAGCAGCGCCACCCACGCAAAGGCGTCCACATGGGCCTCGCGATGGTGCTCGCCGGCGCAGACGGGACGAGGGTAGTCCTCCATGCCGCTAGTGGGCAGACGGTGACCATCGCGTCCACGCCAGCGGTAGACCAGCAGGGTCTCCGGCTGACCGTCGATCGGCTCCCGCGGCCACTCCTCCAGCGGAAGGCGCGAGCGGCAGTGGCGAGCGAGGTCGTCGGTCGCGCCACCACACTGCGTCGTGTGCCACCACCGCCGCCACCGCTTTAGGGCAGGCAGGAGAAGGCGGAGGAAGGCCTCATCAGACGCTTTCTCCTTCTCGTAGTATGCAGGTGTGTTGCGCGTCTTCTGACGATTGGCGGTGGTCAGCCGTGCCTCCTTGCGTCTCATCTCCTTCAACAACTCCTCCAGGCCCAAGAGCAGCGTGGGCGGGGAGGCGAAGGTGGGATGCTCGTAGCGGAGGGAGAGCGGGGTGAAGGAGCGGGTGTCGGCGCTGAAGACGGCGCGGTTAGGCAGGAAGCCCGTCTTCACGTCTTGCGCGCCCAAGAACCACGAGGCCAGGATGTCCTTCACCATCTCCTTGTTCCAGCGCGTCAGGAAGAGCAGCGGCAGACCGGTGAGGGCGGCCTGGCCGAACGCCTCGTCGGTGCGGGAGCCGATCGCGGCGACGGCGCTCACCCGCTGCGGGGACGGCTGCAGCTGCTGCGTGCCCCACAACTCCTCGGCCGTCCCGCGGGCGTCCCACGCGTCGTCCATCTCTGCCTCCGTCTGCAGGTAGTGTCCGCTGGAGAAGACGAAGGACCCCAGCAGCTCGCCCAACGTGTGGGTGGCGATGCGCTCGTACAGTGCCTTGGTGCTGTTGAAAAGCGTGAGCCACGGGTGGAAGACCTTTGCGGTGTGCCGGCCAATCGCCTTGTAGCGCCACCGCAGCACGTTCGTCAGTTGGCACGTGCTCAGTGCCTCGTAGCGCGGTGCCAAGCTCCCAATTTTGCTTTTCCCTGCGTCCTCGGTGGTGTGGACCGCCGGGCTCAGCGAGAGCTCGAGGCGGAAGCTGGAGTCGTACGCTTTGCGAAGCACAATCACGTTGTGCGACACGTCAGGCGACGGCGTTTTGAACGTCCTGGGGTCTTTTTCGGTAATGTAGGCGAACGAGGACTCTGGGAGCTGTCGCAGGTCCAGCTTCTGCTGCTGCAGCTCACCGACGTCGCGGCCCCCGCCGATGCCCCTGCCACCCGCCGCCGCGCGCTCCGCTGGCAGCACGCCAACGGCGTCCACGGCCGTCCGTGCAAAAGCCTCCTCCGCGTCCGTCTGCAGCCCGTACACCTCCCACGGGGCCGTGTCGAAGAGCGGGTTGTGGTCATCGTAGACGCGCAGCGTGAAGTCCGTGTGCTCCGCCTCGCCCTCCGCCTGCATGCGGCTCTTCAACACCGGGCTCCAATCGCCGTCGTTGTGCTCCACAGGCGCCACCATCTCAATACTCTCCTGCTGGTCTGCGTGCGTCATGTAGACGACCATCACAAGCGGGCTGGCGCTCTCCACGCGTCCGTGCACACGCACATGCCAGGCGTCCGCGAATGGACTCTTCAAGAGTTCTAGCTCCATCGACGCCTTGTTGCCGTGGTCGTCCACCACCTCCTTGGCGTAATGCAGGCCGTCGTTGAGGACCCACTGCACGTGCATCACCTCCGCGTCGCGGCCCGTCTTCTGCGCCGATCGCGGGGCGTTGACTTTGTTGTGCATGTAGGGCATCAAGTGCCGCAGCGGGTGCACCTTGGCGGAGTCGTACCACGCAAGGCCCACCGTCACGGGCTCCGGCGTGCGACTCTTCACCGCAAAGATGCGGCTAGGTTCGTACGTGCCCCACCTCATGGTACGGTTGTATTCCTTCGAAGGGTAGAGCGGGGGTTCGTTGAAGTAGCGAGTGTAGCCCGCCTCCATCGCATTGACGGTGCTGTCTGACCAGATGTACTTCTCCCGCAGGCGGCATCGTAGGTTCTGAAAGACGAAAAACGGGGTGAGGCGCACGACGATGAGCAGAGGGATGCCGAGGAAAACGGCGATGAAAAGAAGGTAGCTAAGGACGCCTCGTCGGGTATCTTTCGCTTGCCGCTTATTTTCACGCGCCTGGCGCTCCCTCGCCGTTTCGGCCGGCATGTTGAGCTCCGCCGCTGTATCCTTGCCCAGCAACGGGCGACGATCACGCATGCCCATCATTGCTACGACTAAGCTAGTGCTAAATGAGTACTTGTGCGAGATGCAAACGGTGCGAGTAACGCTCACGGTCGCACTGGTACGCACCTGAAAAAGTCTTAACGACGGCGTCTTTCGACTGCCTCGATAATAATTATTATTTTTCTGTCCGGTTTTCTTGCGTTCTTTTTTGACTCTCCCCCGTTTTGAAGAAGAGCAGGTGATTCCTTGTACGAATTTGGGGGTGTTTGTGGCTGGCGAGCTCAGGGAAGAGGACGAGTGGCGGGTGCGAACGGAGAACGAATTCGCACTACCAACACGAGCGAGACAGAGACAGAGACAGAGACAGAGAGAGGGGGGAAGCGAAATGAAGAAAAGGAATGAACCATGGAAAAAGCTGACAGCACCGTGGGTCGTGCATTTCAGTGGATCATACGCATGGCTTTGAGCGCCTCCTGAAAACTGGAATACGGGATGCGAGACATACAGAAATCTGCCGCACAGCCAGCATATTATTCGACGGTTTAAGAGTTGGGATCAAGCGCTCGTTGATTTTTTTGTTTCTCTTTGTTATTGTTTTCTCTCTCCCTCTTCTTCCGGCATCACGAATCGATCCAAGAGGCCTCCGCTGGCGTTCCAAACAAGTCAGAGGCACCGGCGATGGGGGACGGCATCTGCTGTTGCTGCAGCGACGCTTCCTCCTTCATGCGACGCCACAGCGGTGGAGTGGTCTCCTGCGGTGCCTCCGCATCCTTCCCTGCAGTCGTCGCCCACACACGAATGCGGTGGGGCGGCGGTGACGGCAGCGGCCGTGGCGAGGACGGTGAAGTAAACGGTAAGTGCTCCTCCTGTGGCAACGACGCAGCATCTTGAGCGATACCGTGCGGATCAGAAAACTCAAAGTGCATGGGGCGGCGTGGCGATGGCTGCCGCACCTCTGGACTCTCATCGCCCTGCTTGAGTGAATGAGACCGCATGTGCTGCTGCTGCTGCTGCACAAAGGTCGGCGAGGCGGCATCGTCCAGGAAACTCTTCGAGTCCGAGTGAAACACGTCGGCGGCTGCCTCGTCATACTGCTGCTGGGACAGCCGGGTGCGGTTGACAACGGAGTGGGCCGAGGGAGAAGAGGACACGGACACGTCGCGCGGCGGTGCGTGCGGCGAGGAGGCCGCAGGCGATCGCCACCCTGTCATTGCCAAAGGCGTCTGCGCACGCTCTGGTGTTTCTGCCGCGACAGCAACCGCATCCGGAGACGACAAGAGCGCACTGCCTCGTGAGCGGACCTGCGAGGACACCAACCCGTGCGTGGACTTCGCTCGCGGACGCGGAGAAGAGAAGCGCTCCGACGTCGACGACACGGAGGAGATCGGAGTCGCCGTCAACACGGCCGCGTGCACAGCCGCCATGCCGGACCAGCCAGACGGCACCGACGGTTGTGGCGACGAAACAGGAAGAGGAGCAGGGGACATCAGCCGCCGATAGCGCCGCTGCAGTGCAAAACGATCCGC